CGTATAGATGATTTGCTAGATCGAGTTCAGGGGTGCAGATATTTCTCGAAGATAGATCTAAAATCAGGGTACCATCAGATAGAGGTCCACCCTGATGATCAGTATAAGACGGCGTTCAGGACAAGGTATGGGCATTACGAGTTCATAGTGATGCCATTTGGACTTACTAATGCACCCGCAACATTTCAGCGTTGTATGAACGACTTGTTTAGACCTTGGCTAGATAGGTTCGTCGTAGTTTAGCTAGACGATATCCTAGTGTTCAGCAAGACCCTCGAGGAACATGAGGGCCATCTACGACAGATTCTAAGTAAGCTCAGAGAGTCTAACTTTAAGATTAACCCGAAGAAGTGCGAATGGGCCAAGACACAGGTCCTTTACCTAGGCCATGTACTAGACGGCGATGGCATTCGGCCTGAGGACAGCAAGATAGCATCCATCAGAGATTGGCCAACTCCTAAGACACTAACAGAGTTGCGTTCTTTCTTAGGACTGGCTAACTACTACAGGAAGTTCGTGAGGAACTTCTCTACGATCGCCGCTCCCCTTCGTAGACTATTGAAGAAAGAAGCTATCTGGAAGTGGGATCAGGATTGTACGTCAGCCTTCAAGAAATTTAAGAAGGCTTTGATAGAGTACCCTGTCCTCAAAGTTGCCGATCCATCATTGCCATTTGTTGTTACTACAGACGCGAGTCAGTATGGCATAGGTGCTGTTCTACAGCAAGATGACGGCAATGGGTATAGGCCCGTAGAGTTCATGTCAGCCAGGTGCCTTCAGAGAAAGTCCCCGCATCGACATACGAGAGGGAACTCTACGCTCTCAGGCAGGCTCTAGAGCATTTGAAACACTACCTGCTTGGGAGGCACTTCAAGGTTTATTCAGACCACGAGACTCTTAGATGGCTAAAGACACAGGCCAAGATGACGCCCAAGTTGACCAGATGGGCTGCTGAGATAGACCAGTATGACTTTGAGTTAAAACCCGTTAAAGGCAAGTACAATGTGGTAGCTGATGCGCTAAGCAGGAGATCTGATTATTTCGGTGTGATAGTACACTATCTAGACATAGGGGCCGATCTGCAGCAGAAAGTAAGAGATGCCTATGCACAGGACCCAATCTACAGTGAGCTGCTCAAAAGAGTAAGGGAAGCCCCAGATAGCGAGCCACACTACCGGACCACGAATGGGCTGCTGTTTGAAAAGACTAATGTCGCTAACAGGCTATGCGTCCCCAATAGTGAAGAGATCCGTAGTCTGATCTTAGGGGAATGCCACGATACAGAAGGGCACTTTGGATGGCAGAAGACTTTAGCTAACCTGATGATGTCCTATACATGGTCAGGCATGAAAGCAGACTGCATAGAATATGTGCGCAGTTGCAAAGTGTGTCAGCGTAATAAAGCTACGACTAGAGCCCCCCTGGGTCTTCTTAGACCCTTGCCTATTCCCTCCGGACCCGGAGATTTAGTGTCCATTGACTTCATGGATACTGGAGTCAGAAGCAGACATGGAAAAACTCAAGTCATGGTCATAGTAGACAGATTTAGTAAGTATGCAGTATTTGTTCCCTTGCCTTCAGAGGCCCGTACGGAGTTAGTTATAAGGAAGTTCTTTGATTTCTGGGTAAGCGAGAATGGTATGCCATTGTCCATAGTAAGTGATAGGGACACCCGGTTTACCAGCCAGCACTGGCAAGATCTTATGAAAGTATATGGGTCTAAGTTGTTGATGTCGTCAGGACGACACCCCGAGACTAACGGTCAGACAGAACAGATGAATAAGATCTTGCAACAGCTACTCAGAATGTACATTAGACCAGATCAGCTAGATTG